GGAGAATATCATGCTATGTGAAATAAGTCAGTCCCAAAAAACCAAAGGCTGATTGTTCTCTTTGTTCTGTAATCCACAAAAGGGAGAGTTAAGAGAGGGAGAATAGGAGTTCATTGGATTAGACAAAGGAAAATGAAGGGAAGGGAGAGAAGAGAGCAATAGGAAGGACAAAGACTTAAGCCAACATAACTTTTCTATCCCTGTATTTGAATACAGAACCAGGGTAACTCCTCATCATGTACAACTACATGAATAGGATCCTAATTAGAATAAGTTATACTCCATGTATGCATAATATGCCAAAATACATTCTACTATTGTGTATATCTAAAAATAAAAATTAAATTTTTWAAAAAAGAAGAAGAATGATACAACCGATCAGCAGGGTGTATTCCTATAACCCCAGCACCTTAGGAACCTGAGGCAGGAGAATTACAACTTCAAGGTCAGCCTCAGTAACTTAGCAGGACTCCCTCAAAATAAAAAAAAAAAAAAGGATCTGGGAATATAGTTCAGTAGTAAAGCCCTCCTGGGTTCAATCCCCAGTACCAAAAAGAAAAAGAAACACAACAAAGGCCTACTAGTTTATCCAGGGTCACCCAGGTAGTGCTTTTTAACCAGTACTGTACTGATGGTTCCATCAGAATCTCTGGAGGGATGAGTCCTGAGCATCAGTTTGAGGTTTTTTCTGGTGAAGACTCAGAACTAGAAAGTGATTTGCAGTKGGAACTACTTCACATGAATTGCTAGGGGAAGGCATCTGTGTTGGTGAAAAGCTAATCGTGGAAATCTGTCTGCAGGGAGAGGTTGTACAAAAGCCTTGAATGTTCTGGGTATAGAATGTGATATGAGCCAACACTCCCATCACATGMCAAATTTAGTCTTAATCAGAGATCCAAGCATAAATATTTTTTAAAAGGAAGAAAAAGAAAACTAGGATAGTTGCTTTTTCATTAATTTTTCATTCTGTATAGAAAAATGACTAGCAGAAATGCAAAAATAACCATTTAAAAGAGATTACTAGGGCTGGAGATGAAGCTAAGTGGTTGAGTATTTGTTTAGCATTGGGAGAGGTTGTACAAAAGCCTTGAATGTTCTGGGTATAGAATGTGATATGAGCTAACACTCTCATCACATGCCAAATTTAGTCTTAATCAGAGATCCAAGCATAAATATTTTTTAAAAGGAAGAAAAAGAAAACTAGGATAGTTGCTTTTTCTTTAATTTTTCATTCTGTGTAGAAAAATGACTAGCAGAAATGCAAAAATAACCATTTAAAAGAGATTACTAGGGCTGGAGATGAAGCTAAGTGGTTGAGTATTTGTTTAGCATTGGGAGAGGTTGTACAAAAGCCTTGAATGTTCTGGGTATAGAATGTGATATGAGCTAACACTCTCATCACATGCCAAATTTAGTCTTAATCAGAGATCCAAGCATAAATATTTTTTAAAAGGAAGAAAAAGAAAACTAGGATAGTTGCTTTTTCATTAATTTTTCATTCTGTATAGAAAAATGACTAGCAAAAATAACCATTTAAAAGAGATTACTAGGGCTGGAGATGAAGCTAAGTGGTTGAGTATTTGTTTAGCATATGCAGACCCTACATTCCCAGCATTAGAAAAATGAATGAATGAGCGACAAAAGGAATTCTTTCTGGGAGGTTTTTGTAAAGATTTAAATCCAGACTTTTTCTTCATTTTAAAAAGAAAGAGTTTTAAAATATGTCARCCTTACCTGAAAACATTTTGTTCTCTTCTTGATTCTTTATGCCTTGCCTTTTTGCTGATTCTTCTTATCCTTTAATTTTTTTATGCTGACAAGTCTTAAATTTTTGTCTGTATCCTGAACACCCTTCCTGAAATGAAGATTCATAGACAGTTGTCTACTCACATTTGCACTTGGGTGTCTAATTGATTATAGCACTGAGAATTAAGATGAGAGAAGGGTATTCATGAAGATATTTCAGAGAGAATCCATGAGATAGATTGGTGAACCYTTTGAGGGAGATAATGAAGAGGAGGAATTAAAATGATTCTGCATTTCCTGTTAGTATGATCCATTAGGACCCAATTCTGGAAATTAGGAAATATGGAAAACTTGCATTTTGTTCTGTTGTCTTTGATAAGTTGAACCTAGGATTGGTTGGGAAGAACCAGTAGGGAAGGATAGTAGGGAAAAGAATGAATTAGGTTTGGGAAGTGTGTGTTTCAAGCCTGAAGGAATTAAAGTGGAAATGTTCTATTGTGAGTTGGAAATGACTGGAATAACATTATGATGGTGGCAGTAGAGCAGAGGTTGTGGCTCAGTGGTAGAGCACTTGCCTAGCATATGTGAGATTCAATTCTCAGCACCCCATATAAACAAATAAATAAAGGCCCATCGACAACTAAAGAAATATTTTTTTAAAAAGATGGTGGCAGTGGAGATGGATTTAATAATTACTGACTAATTTATTAAAGTAGATTGAGGCTTCAGGACTAGATTGTTCCTCTTAGTCTAAAAAGGGTGGGGTAGAGTGAGAGGTGTAAACAAAGGTGAAGTATAGAAAACCCTCAGTATTTAATACAAGATTGCATAAAAGAAGAGAATTAGTTGTTACAGAATAAAGACATTCAAGGAGATAATTATAGCCTGACAAAGCCAGAGGAGCTCATTCTCAAGGAGGCTTTAGATTAATAAATTTCATAGATTTGGTTATGGGTACAAGTAGATCCTATTTATGGGTCAGATGTGTTGAAGACTAAGAAAAAATGCTGGCTATTTGACTTAGCAATTTGGAAGGGCATTGGTGAGTGTGACCATACACCCCTGTTTGTTAACAAGTTTACACAGAAATAATAAATACTGAATAAAGTAAGCTATCTCTGTAACCAACCCTATTAAATAGTTTATAGATTTGTAAATAAGAACACTTGAGAATCACTATAATGACACTGTATAAATATTCTCTATTTTGAAAAATAAATGATTGTCTAAGGAAAGAATATGGAGTCTTGAAAGTGTAGAAACAATGAATAAGCATTTTCTATATTTAACCGGCACTTAGAGTAAAAGTGGACTTATTAGAGTGGTATGTATTTTATTGTAAAGTAGGAAAGGTTTTTCAGGCTCTTCTGTCATTTGAGGTCCCTCCATAAAACCTGTGATTTCTAAGTACAATTTTTTATACCATATGGAAAAATTAAGATTATTTCCTATAGTCATAGGTTTTATGCAAAGAACAAATTCCTTTTGTATACTTGGTAACGGTCTTTTAACTTAGAAAAATTGGTCTTCAATCCTGTACCTGAAGACTATTGAAAAGAGTTAAAAATCAGATAAAATGATGAGTTTGACTTTGGACTTTTTGTTATATAAGAAAGAGAAGACAACTCTCCAAGGTTACATTTTGAAAATTCCAATATCTTTTCAGTTAACTAGAATACTGAAATATTCATAAAACTTAACAATCATAAGTTACAGAAGGTGTCTTTGATTTGTTGCTGGATATTTTGGCAATCCTAATAGTGTTTGACATTAAAAGCAGTCATTGAGCAAAATTATGAAATGCCTTCACTGTGCCATAGGGTAAAGGCAAAAAATGACAAGATATTCTCAGTCCCTTTTCTCATTGAATTCATAATCTAGAAGAAGTTGAACAGTCTAGTTTAAGTGACACTTCTTCAGAAATACCTTCTCGATCTATTTAGTTTAAGTCTTTTTCACTACTCTTCCTAATGTCACCTTATTCTTTCTTTCAAGTTGCAATCATTATAATTATTTCAAATTATAATTCATCTACATATTTGGGCATATATTTGGGTTCATTCTGTGTAATTCCTCCACCTGTGCTAGACTGTTAATTCCATATGTAGGAATTATGTCAGTTTTCTTCACTACTATATCTTCAAGTCCCTAATTCAGTGCATATTAAGCATTCAATAAAGACTTTGAATGATGACTGCCTTTTGTGTTTGGTAGAAGTGCAGGATGCTGTGACAGGCTTAGTCTAGTGTGAGGATGAGGAAATGTTTCTTAAAGAAGATGAAAATAGGGCTGGGGCTGGGGCTGGGGCTCAACAGTAGGGCACTTGCCTGGCATTATGTGAGGCCCTGGGTTAGATTCTCAGCACCGCATATAAATAAATAAAGGTCTATCAARCTTACTTTAAAAATATTTTTTAAAAAAAGAAAGTAATTAGGAAGAAGATGTGAGTTCAATATCTAATTTTTTAAAGGACAAGTGGGATGAATATAGAAAATTTTACTTTGAATTTGAGAATGTAGAAGTTATTCATAACCTTAATGAAGGTGTAGTGGAATGAAGGAATGCAATTCAGATTACAGTTGGTCATGAAATAAATTAGCAAGAAATCAGAACAAGCACATTTTCTTAGAAAAGTAGTTCTCAAATACTTACTGCTGGCTTGTTTGTTTAGGCATATGATAAACTAATATAAGAAATTGGTGTACTTTAAATATTTTCACTGATGCACACATACACAAAAAAGTAAGTGAAAACTCTACTGAGTAGTACTGTGGTAGAGGCTTCTAGGAGGGGCTAGTTGTCTTCTGGAAGTTCAGCTACCATATCTTTCTTTCATATTGAAATGTTGAATAAGTTAAAAAAGCTGAAAAGGGCCGGGCATGGTGGCCCACGCCTGTAATCCCAGCAGCTCAGGAAGCGGAGACAGGAGGATCAGTTCAAAGCCAGCCTCAAGAAAAGTGAGGCACTAAGCAACTCAGTGAGACCCTATCTCTAAATAAAATAGATAGGGCTAGGGATGTGGCTCAGTGGTTGAATGTCCCTAGGTTCAACCCCTGATACATACACACACACACACACACACCAAAAAAAAATAAAGAAAGAAAAAGGAAAGAAAGAGCAAAAATGGTATTTGAGAAATAATGGCAGATTGTTTACTGCATCCAGAAACCCTTGCTACCACTTTCTATGTGCTTTTGTAAAGTGTTTCTCAATTTCTGTGAATTTTGTCTGTTAACTATTTTTTTAATTTCCAGGTGTTGGTAAATCATGCTTATTGCTACAGTTCACAGACAAGAGGTTTCAGCCGGTGCATGACCTCACTATTGGTAAGTTTTATAAAAGAGATAAGCATTAAAAGTTTAAAATAGTTTTATATGTAAGAGGATCCATTCTATTAGTGATGATTCCAAAAGCAGTGAAAAACTAGATTTCTTTCTTTTTTTATTTTTTTTTTTTTTTTGGTACCAGGAATTGAACCCAGGAGTATTTAACCACTGAGTGGCATCCCCAGGTCTTTTTATGTTTTATTTAGAGACAAGAGTCTCCTTAAGTTGCTTAGGGCCTGACTAAGTTGCTGAGTTTGGCTTTGAACTTGAGATCCTCCTGCCATGGCCTCCCAAGTTGCTGGGATTACAGACATGTGCCACTGGTCCCAACTGAAACTAGGTTTCTTGTGCAGTTTACTTTCCATCATTTTTTTTAGAAATATGAGAAGTAAAAATCAGTATTACCCAATTTTGTACAAACAATGCAGAAGACATTGATATTTAAGATTTCAGTTGTATTTAATAATTAAACAATTGRGGGACAACATAGCATCATGGTAGGAGTAGAAACTGTGAATCCATTTGCTGGATTGCCACTATTTGGTTAAACCTCTTCTGYTCCATTTCTTACTTTGTCTTTCAGAACAGTGAAAAATCATAGCCATACCAATCCCACAAAGTTATTGTGAGCATTAAGTAAATAATAAGTATAAAGCTTTGGAACAGTGCCTGGCTACATGGTGAATACTATAGACTTGCCTATAATTGTTAGCCAAGAGAAACTGCCATCAAGCAATTATGACTAGTAAATGAAATCATTACTAGTAAGAAACAGTAACTATTATCTGTTATTATTTAAAATAGTGATACTATTCATTTTTATTAATATACAATGCTATAAAGGGGGTGAAATCCTCAAAATTTTAGGTTATCATTACCATTTTAGGATTCTTATTTGTTTGAAAGTATATGCTGAAAGCCAAGGAATCTAGCTAACTGACTATTCTACAGCTATAGCCCATTTAACTACTAGRAATTAGTTAAATATGAAGAAAAAGGGTAATTGGGAATCTAGTTACTCGTTAATAACTGATTGCTTAGTGAATCTTCAGTCACTGCTCATTTTCTATGGATTTTAAGTTACCATTTATAGCGTATTAATTTTCATGTCCTACACATTTTCAAAATACCAAAGATAGAACTTATTGATCAGTGTTATGGTTTGGAAATGAGATGTCCCCCAAAAGCTCACGCATGAGACAATGCAAGAAAGTTCAGAGGAGAAGATTGGGTTGTGAAAGTCTTAATCCAGTCAGCAAATTAATCCTTTGATAGGGATTAACTGAGTGTTAATTGAAGTGGTAGGGTGTGGTTGGAGGAGGTAGGCATTGGGAGTCCTGGCTTTGGAGTATATATTTGTATCTAGGAAGTGGAGAACTCTCTTTCTGCTTCCTAATCAAAATGCGAGCTGCTTCCCTCTGCCTCACTCTTCTGCCATGATGTTCTGCTTCACCTCGAGCCCCAAGGAATGGAGCCCACCTTCTGTGGACTAAGACCTCTGAAACCTTAAGCCCTCAAGTAAATTTTTCCTCCTCTACAGTTGTTCTGACCGGGTCTTCTAGTCACAGCAGTGAAATAGCTGACTAAAATAATCAGATTATTAGATCAGTGAATAGTTTCAACCAAGTCATATGCAGTTGGTAGATACATTGATATTTTTATTAGCAACTCCTGTTAATAAGAATATTATCCATAATCTATATTAAATTTTATATTTTCCAAGTATATACAATGATGATGGGTAAAATAGGTAGTACTATTTAATACTGGCCTTTTGATTTTGTTAGCTTTTATGAGCTTATTTTTGTATAGGATCTATTCTTTGTTCAATAGGTTTTAAACATTGGTAGCTAATTTTAGGAATGCCCCAGTCCTAAGACAATTAATCAGAYTTTTTTGTTGTTATTGTTTTTTAAAATTAGAACACTAAATAAATGTATTCTTTCTTTTCATTGAATCTTACACATAAGTTTCTAAGCTGTTTTGGCACACCCGATGGAGAGAATGGATCTAAGCATGCTGTCAGAAATTGGCATAGGCTATACTTGTAAGAGAGATGAGGGAGCAGATCAAAGAAAGTTGTTTGGAAAACTGTAACTCATGTAACTGCCAGCTGGCTTCACTCTAGATTTACTGATGGCAGCCACTGGGAAGTAGTAGGCTAAAAGAAGAGAGAAGCCAAGGATCTTTTTCTACTTTTCTCTCAGCCTGGGTTGACTATATGTTCTCCATTAACTGGATCTCTAGCCCCTCCCTGCTTGGCAAGCCCTCAGGTAGTCTGGCTCCTGCACTTTGATAACCCTAATTTCTCCCTGCATCCTCTCAGCCTAGGGACAGTAGCAGCTTCTTGTTAGGGCAGGAACCAGTGGGTTGGTTCCCTTTCTCTTTGGGGTGTTTTCTTTCTTTCTTTCTTTTCTTTTTTTTTTTTGCTCTTCCTTTACTATAACCAACCCCTACATTAAATTCTCTTAGTATTTAAGTACTTAAGTGTGGTTGCTGTTTTTCTGGTTGGACCCTGACCTATACACTTTTCGCCACCTCTCTAACTCTTCAAATTATTTGTAAATATTAGTATCCACCTAACTCAGCTTAAGCCAAAAGGAGAATTTATTATTTTTAATATTTCAATGTCCCACAGAAACGAAGGAGGAAAGCAGCCTAGAACCAGAGTTTATAGCTCTTAAAGAGGAGACATAAGAAATTTTGTCTTTTTCACATTCTTCTGTTATTTTCTCATGCCTGCTTCATTTTTCTTTCTTCCTATTAACCARTGTGTTTGGTTTCCCAGTCTCCATGGTGGGAAAGAGTTATTATCAGTAGYTTTGAAGTTCATATCCCATTCAGGAGAGCAGAGATTGTTTTAAACTCATTTCCAAGTTCCCTGTGGAAGAGAGTTCATTGCTTCAATTGGTTCCTTGTTTTGTCATCTCTGGCCTAGGGTCCACAGTCACTTTGTACAACTTGGTTACCAAATCGGTAGTAATGAGTAGAAGTTTGGATGAATAGTCATAACTAACACTGTAATTCCATGATATCTAGCTATCCTAGCTAGTCATCGTGTCCTTAACTTCTGTCTACTGTAATGATCAATTCTGTACTTATAAGCCTCATACCTAAGCTCTTGATTCTTCTGCCTTCTCACTCTCTCTCCTACTTTACTTAATACATAAAAAATAGTAAGTCCAATCAAACCTTAGTTGCTAGCTCTTCCCCGTTTTCTCAGTACATGCCATTAACATGTCTGCTTATTGAAGTTTTTTGTTTGTTTGTTTTTCTGGTGCTAGGGATTGAACCCAGGACCATGTGCATGTGAGGCAAGCATTCTACCAACGGAGTTATATTCCCAGCTCTTGAAGTTTTTTTCTAAGCAAATTTACKTATGCCAAACTATAGTCCCCATTTATAGGAAATGAGACTAGTATGTCCATGCTTGTGAGGAATTATTGTTGACTGGAAAGGAAGAAATATAAAAAATGCTGGAAAATAGCTAAGTTAGAGTAACTGTGTAGGCTCTGAGTTTCAGCATGAGCCCAACACCAACTTGRGTGGTAAATAGTGGTGTCCATAGTAGGTCATGCTTTAGAACTTCTTTGTTTATGATCAGAATCATTCCTCCTCCAAAGACGAAGTAAATCTTACAGGGGATGGATATAGGTAGTCCTATCTTTTACTTGCTATATGTGTAGGGAAACTACATCCAGTGGACTTTTCATGAAGTAAATCATATTTTTTCTTAGAAACTGTTAGAGGTCATGGTACAGCTGGCTTTAGCAAGAGTCTTATTATTTTTAAAATGTTAGACACCATCAACACCTCTTTTAAACTAGAATTTTATTTCAGGTCCTATAAAGTGAATGTAAAGTGACTCAGAATTTAAGATGTTTSGGGGCTGGGGTTGTAGCTCAGTAGTAGAGTGCTTGCCTAGCATGTGAGAATATTTGAGGTAGTGATACTTTCTTTAAAATCCATAAATTTCTGTGAAGCAAACAACTATAATAGAGTTTGCAATTCATTGTTGATGTTGATAATTATGTTTTTCCCACTGAAGACTGTTTTATAAAGTCAAGGCTGACCATTCTTCTCAGACTGTCTTTCTGCCATTACAGCTTATGTAGTTACATATAGTAAACTCAGTGTATTCAGTTACAGTCAGTCAGTCAGTCAAGCTGAATGCGGGCCAGCAGAAGCAGTGAGTATTGTTAATTACTGTTTCTGCTTGTACACATACCCTCCTTAACATTTTTGGAAACCTCTATCATGGCAGTTTATTTTTTCAGACATAAAAATATCAGGTCATTAGTACATAATTTCAAAAGGAATATGGGAATGTTTGCTAAGATAGGCATAAGACAGTATCTTGACTGCTGCATACTTGCCTTTGCCTGAGAAATAGATGATGAAAAATTTAAGGTTAGGTCATGACAAAGAAAGTGTTAAATGATGGAAAAGAGGAGATAAAAGATCATGAAATACTGTAAAATACTCTTTATTCTTTCACTATCTCGGTGAGAATCATAAGATATAAATCAAAGAAGTTTACAAATAACTTCATGTWCACAATAACATTGAAAGTCCAGACTAGAGCTCTGAACCAGTTGCATCAGTATCATATGGGAGCTTGTTTAAAAGTCTGCTGAGGGTTTGGGAACATAGTTCAGCAATGGGGCACTTGCCTAGCACACAGTCCCTAGGACCCACCCACACCTCTCAAAAAAGCAAAAACCAAATAAGCAAAGTTAAAAGAATCTGCTGAATCATAATCCACGTTTTAACAGGATCTCCAAGTGATTCATATGAACATTTTTTTTAATTTATTTTTTTTTTATTGTTGGTCATTCAAAACATTACATAGTTCTTAATACATCATATTTCACAATTTGATTCAAGTGGGTTATGAACTCCCAATTATACCCCATATACAGATTGCTGAATCACATTCATATGAACATTAAAGTTTGAGAAGCACTGAAGCAATGACTTCACTACTAATCATGCAGCTA